ATAAAAATTTGCACACTTGCCTCTTTATTTTCTTCAGTGTCTCCATGAATCCACACTGTAGCTTCTAAGTAATTTTCCCTGCTAGCTCTGAATGTTCCTTGAAGGTATACACCAGATTTTATACCCTGTTGTAGCTTACTTAAGGGAAGATGCTCTGAAAATATTATTTTCCCACTTTCTATTTCATTCTATGAAATAAGAAAACCAAAAGATGCAGTTAGTAAGTTTTCTGTTCACTCAGTAGAGAACTATCAAAACTATCAGGTAACTTTTAAAAACTCACATTATAGTATATAGGACTCTGACCTGAGCGAATATAGCATAGTGCTTCTTCTAGACCACTGCTATCAAAAGCAACTTTCTTTGAAGCAAAGAATATTCTTTTTGTGATATCCAATACAATGGCCACTAGATACAATTTTCTCTTGAGCAATCGATAGGTGCCTATTACCAACTGAGAAACTGAATTTTAAAATTTAAACATCCACATGCACTAGTGGCTACACATCACACAGCGCAATCCTAAATCTGTACAATATTCCAAAAATCAAGTGCAACTTACATCTTCTCACTTCATTGTAGTTTTGTAAAGTAGCTAAAGACAAGAAGGGACAGGAAAAATGTCATAAAGACTGGATGGATACATAATGTCCTATTCTATAACACTATTTCTCTAATAATAGCTATAGTAAATTTACTATGGTAAATTTATAATAATATAATAAATTACTATATTAATTTCAATAGTAAATTTACATTTACTATAGCTACGTCTCAGGCACTGAGATAAAAACTTCATTAATGTTGTCATTATCTCATTCAATCCTTATAACAATGCCATGAAATCATTATTGCTAAATACATTTTTTAAATACAAAAAAAAAATGGTTTATAAAAAAAAAAAAAATGAAGGTTCAGAGTTTGATTATTCCTTTAGCAATACCCCTCACATTGGTCTTTGCAGTAACCTCTTTACTCACCTCTCTGCCTCTACCCTTGCCACAGGTAACAATGCAGTGTCTTTCACACTGACAGTAGTGTTCTTACAAATAAGCTCCCTCCCTATCCATATTCTCATATGGCCTTAATTTCTCTAATTCTGCCATATGAAATAGGGAGGTCAGAATCCTATCTGTTATCTTCTTTACAGCAGACTTTTAGGAAGATCTTTATAAGACACTTTCAATTACTGATCTACAGAATACATTCTAGTTCCTCATTATCTGGTGCTGTTCTTTCTATTCTATTTCTTCTGATTCCCTTCCCTACCCCTTTGAACTCGCCACTTTATTTCTCCGAACTCGCCAATTTGAACTTGCACTGCTCACCACTTTATTTCTTAAACATCTAGTACTTACTTACAAATCAAACATGGGTTTCATTCATTTTGTCATCAAAAATGTGCCAGGCCTTATTTTAGAAAGTTAATTCATTTAGGAATGCATGTTAATAAACTTATTACATTCACTCCTACTGTTTATAATCTAATTCCTACTCCAATTCCAGCTTATTGATACTCCAATTTTTAAATAAGGTAGCTGTAAGCCTCATATCCCAAGGTGGCTATTTTAATATTTTCACTTTTCAAAACAGAACAAACTGACACATACCCCTTCATCAGACAAACAAGCAAGACGATCTATGAGTTCAGGGTTAGCAGTTAGGCTCTTTATATACTCTTCACCTGAAAAATAAGTTAACAGGTTGTTCTTAATGAATTCAAATGACTTGCCTAATGATAATTTTTATATGAACTTGCAAATATACAGTAAATGCTTCTACTTTTAGGCTTACATGTGAATGCTGGTATTCCTTCTTCTACAGCTTTCTCTTTGTTTTTGAGATCATTGGTTATAAAGATAACTTGCAGCTGATTTTCTGCCGACATTTTCTTCAGATGTTCATTGTACCATTTTGCTGCTACTCGAATGGCTCTCTCATTTCTATCATTAGCATTTTCTCCTTGTTCTTGTTCTACATAGGTCTCTCTATATGTAAAGGGAAAAAATAAAAAGAAATCAACAGAAACAACACATAAAAACTTCAGGCACTCAACCACTAAACTGAAAAGTCAATATGTATCTATTTTAATTGTGCAGACATATATCAGAGAAATAAACAAGATGTTTATAGGTAAGTTTTTAAAACAACAATTTGCTTGGAAAAGAAGAAAAATGTTATAAGTAAAAAGCTTTATACAGTTTCACTTCACAAAAAGAACAATTCAAGATCAGAATTTATACTTCATATTGGGACATTAAATAACTTGTTGAAACAAACTAAAACATTCTGTAGATGTGATAACACTTCATTTGAACTGTGGATTAACACAAAAATTCCTAAAAATAAATTATCCATGATACACACTCAATAAAAGGCAAAGACTAACTAGAGATTGAAAGACCAGATATAGTGAGGATTACGTGTTCCTTCGAAGACTATCCACTCTGAACTATGACAGCATTTGTCTATTCTTGTTCTTCAAAGCCAGATTTAAGCACAGTAACAAAATTCAGTAGAATAGCCTCTGGTGTTTAAATAGATTCAATTTCAGACTTATTTAACAGATTTTAAGAATTATTTTTATTCTCCACCATTAAATGCACCTACCAATGCTTTAAGCTTGTAAGTGAAGATGTGGCCATAAATTTGAATTTAGGTTTAATATGACTTGAGTAAATAAATCTTAGATTTGCTATTGTCCTAAGAGTCTTCCCATCAATCCCAGCACAAAGGCCTATTTACAATACTTGAACTAACAAAACTGCTAACCCATTTAGGAATCTGATGAACACACTCCATCAAAACTTGGTCTTTGGCACTGAAAAGCAAATATTTTCCTGTTACTGGTAGTGAGAAGGTACAAGGCATAAAAATGGGCAAGTGCCTTATTGATGTTTTTTATAAGAGCAATATTTAATTTGGGGGTATAAGAAACTTGAGAACTAATGTTTTTTTCATGTGCAAATCTGATGGGATTTCATCACCACAACTAGTGTCTAATTCGGTTTTCCTCAATCAGGGCTTGAATTCGCCTCACCCCACCCGCCAACCAGGGGACCATATGGCAATGTCTGGAAATGCTACATGTTACAACTCAGTGGTAGTGGTAGCGGAGGGGGAAGATTGGTATTGTCACACAGTGGGTAGAGGCCAGGGATGCAGTTAAATATCTTACAATATATACAACAGCTTGCCCACAACAAACTATTATCCAGTCCAAGATATCAACAGTGTCAACGGTGAGAAACTGACTGAATAGTGTCACAGATTAGATCATAGATTATTTATGTAACATCAGAAATAGGCAATATATTTTTAAGACCACACATCGAGTTCAAAGGTCTTCAACCTGAAACATAACAAAGAATTCTATTTCTTAATCTAATCCTCAGTGTGATTCAGCTGTAACGTATCAGCTTAAAAATTTTAAAGCCCATTAAAAATAAATCTGCTTTATATTTTTAAATCTTTCCTTCACAAACTCATATTCTTTATTTTATTACCCTGTGTTGGTTATCCACATAATACAGTATTCCAAGAAGCTAGGCTTATCTCATGCTAAAATCAGTTTAAAATGAATACATTGTAGAAATAAAAATAACTAGTATTATAGCCTAAGAGTCTGTAGATCTTGGTTCTAGGCTTGACCTCAATGCCTGGGTGACCTTAGTGAGATCCACTGAGCAATATGTCCCATACAGCTGTTTAAGAATCAAAGAGCATAGGGAACTATGGTTTATCTTCAACAATGTCACAAATTACTCGTAGGAATCTTGTCAAATTTTATCTAGTTATGATTTGTGATACTTAATATACTTCTCCTCCTACCTATGGTGCTCATTAGTGAATGTATAGAAATGCTTTTCTTGGTTATTAGTCACATCCCGGATTCTTTTATATACAGGGGCACTTCGATTTCTCACTTCTTGGAGAACTGTTTGTAGCACAATTACATTCCTGATGGCAGGGTCCTCCAGAACATCGATCTTAAAAAAAAAAAAAAAGTTACTTTTTCCTATTTTTATTTAGAAATTGTTTCTGTCAAATATAAAACTGTCAGTTTAAAAACACTGGCAATTATTAGGCCATCGAATTATTTTGCTATACAAAAAGTGACAAGTCACTTAACCCTTCAGGCCTATCAGAAAAGAGCACGCAGAAAGAGACCAAAATTTCGTAGTATTAAGGCTATTAATAAAGAAATACGTGGCCCACATAGTTTTTGTTCGTAGGCACTTACAAGATGCCTGGGGGTCGCAAGCTGGAAGCCTCAGAAGCCCAGGTCTCCGGCTTCCAGGCACTTATAATCAATCTAAGGTAGAAGAGACACCAGGAGTTAGAAAATTAACGTGTCTAGGATTTTAAAACTCCAAAAACTGAAGGGAGAGGAAGCAAAAGAAAGAGCTTCAGCCTGGGAAAGAGTAAGCGTGAGTCCCGACGGGCGTGCCTCTCCTAAATTTGTGACACTGTCACACACCCACCTCCCCCGGCCTGTTTCCCTATCTGCCACACGCCCGCCAGCCGACGCACCTGGTGCAGCAACACGTTGGTGTCAGGCAGCAGGTAGTGAGGCCGCGGCCAGAGGCTGCTCGCCAGGTCCTGGGGCTGCGGCTCGAGCGCCGGGCCCCCGTGCGCCCCGCCACACTCCGCGCACCCGGGAGCCCCGCAGCCGATGTCATCGCGCAGGTAATGCTCGCGCACGATCTTCAGCACGCCGCCCGTCCGGGTCTTTTTTAAGAACGTCTTGGACTTGAGCATCTCGCCTCGTGGTCAGCGGCGGGGTCCAGACCGCCACAGCACGCTTCCGGCGCCACTAAGTCCCACCCCGGGGACTTCTCTTCTTCCCGTTCCCGGGTACTAGCGAGCACGCTCATCCGAAAAGGCCGAGCCGGACGCTGGTTGGCCCTCCGCCCGCCGCGAGGATTGGGCCAGAGTGAGCCGCGGGGTAACGTCATTTTGGCCTGGCTGGGCGGGGCCCGCGTCGGGACTCCAGTTCCCAGCCTGCACTGCTTCCCGCGCCTTCGAAGATCCCGGCGGCCTGAGTTGCGGTGGCGGGACCAGCGCTCCTTCCGTTCTCCTTGGGGCGCGGGATGGTTGTCTTGGTTACGGCTGCTTACGGTTCCCTAACCTGAGCGTGGAGGGGCTGCAACCCGACCGGCTGACTGCAGATGCCTTCGGTTCCCCTAAGTGTCTGAGGTGGTGGCGGGTCCAGCTTTGGTTGTCCAGTAATTGAAGCTTTGGAGGTAGCTTGCGGTGGTCTACCCGTCTTTTCCGCGCGGGGCGAGGGATCCCCTTTGTTGCCGAGTTTGGGATTTAGTGTTCACGCCGATCGTGTGGGCAACCCCAATCACTGAGCCTTTGTAATCCAGAAGGATTGTTTCTCATTTTCCCTCTGTTACCCCCTTCCCTTTAAAAAAGAAACCGACCTTTCCTCGCCACACATCTCTGACTGGTTATTAGGAAAACCCATAAACAATGCCGTAATTTAGTATACCGCATAGCAAACGGGGTTTGCTAACATTCTTGTGAAAGGCTGAGAAATTCTATTTAGAATAATCGAGTTTTTCTCGTCTCTTTTTTCTGCAGTCTAGCTGGTCTGTCAAAAATGTCTGTTTCATTGCTTCCCCATTAAAAAAAATTAAGTGATGCCTCACGTTTAAGGCCGTACAGTTTTGATGTTTAAGTGTGTGTATGGGGGTCTAGGAAAGTCACTATTCTAATTCACAAAAATTTGCTACAGCTACTGTTTTCCGCTGTTTACCATTCATTTCTCCACCACTATACCAACCTTAGTAACTCTTTAATTTACTCTTTTTACTACACCTGTTTAAACCTTTCAAGATTTTAAGTCCTACTTCTGTATAACCTTAATCTAACTCAGAAGTGATTTCTCCAAGTTTGTGTTGATTTTTAAGTGCATTCTTGGGTACTGATGGGCGTTGTCCTTTCTGTCTTACATTTCTTTGTGTTTTCCAACTAAGATTTGTGCCGCAGGGACTTTTTTTTTTTAATTCATTGAAGGGCCACCCCCCCCCCCCAGTGCATTTGTCTAGAGTGCTCTAGGCCCTGGGTTTCATCCCCAGCACCCTAAAACAGTAAGGGCTGAGTTCATGGTAGGATTGAATGAATCTCTGTTTGATTTGAGCAGTAATTTACTATCTGACTCCAAATTGCTACTTAGGGAATCTTTGGTATCTCATTAATACACTCTGCTTTCTAGTAGTGTCTTAGTATATTTAAATTAATAATTTTTCATCTACAGGAGATTGAATTAGAAAACTGACCCATAATAATAAAAGATGTCTCGAAAAATTTCTAAAGAATCAAAAAAAGTGAACATCTCTAGTTCTCTGGAATCTGAAGATATTAGTTTAGAAACAACAATTCCTACAGATGATATTTCCTCATCTGAAGAACGAGAAGGTAAAGTCAAAATCACCAAGCAGCTAATTGAACGAAAAGAACTGCTTCACAATATTCAGTTATTGAAAATAGAGTTATCTCAGAAAAATATGATGATCGACAATTTGAAAGTGGATTATCTTACAAAGGTAAGATCAGGTATAAATTTTGTTATTTACATGCTTGATATTCTTTATAGATAAATAAGAATTATGTATTTCCTTTAAGGTATAGATTAATAAAATTGATAATACTTAGTCCAGGACAGGCTTTTAATACTTTGAAAGATAGGGTAATTTAAATATGAGAAAGGGGTAAATTCTTTTGGTTCAATTTTTAGCTCCTAGCATTATGTGAGGTGTAGATTTTCTTAGGTGTAATTTCTAACCAAGCTGTTGACTGCTTCACTGACCCTGATGTGATTAGTTTGGTAAGAAAAATCAAAATCATCATTATTCAGTTGAATCATCATACATTATTCAATCTATATTGTCCTTTGCCCTAGAGATTTGATTTCTTTGGTTGGTACCTTTCTGTTGCTGGTTACTGTGTCATATTGGGAGTCATAAATTCATATACCATAGTCTTCAGTTTGCCATCCAAATAAGAAGGTTGTCCTAGTCCAGTAGTGGCAAACCTATGGCACCCATGCCACAGCAGAAATGCAGAGCCCTCTCTGTTAGCATGGGAACCAAGTTCAGCATTGCCCCAGCAGCCAAGCATTCAGGTTTAATTGCAGTGTTAGCACTCTGTGATAAAAAAGTGGGTTTTGGGTTGCAGTTTTGGCACTCAATCTCTAAAAGGTTTGCCATCATTGTCCTACTCCTTGTTTTTCTGCCATGTGTGATTATTTATAGTTATAGAGCAGTTTCTGTAAGACCTGGTAAAGTTTTAACTAACCATAGGAAAGAGATAGATACATAGATGGATGGATGGATGGATAATATATATTTCTTTAGGCCTACCTGATATTATTTTTTGGTATTGTCTCTTTACTGTAAGGACAGGGACATATTTGTATTGCTGTTGTATCCACAGCATGTAGAACACTGCCTGTCACATTTTTAAATGCATGACTGTTTGCTCTTAATGAAACAAAACCCCAGGGTGGTTAATAGCAAACCCAAGGCCACTCAGCTGGAAGTGAGGGAGCCAGGTAGGATTCAAATCTACAAGACCGTACTCTGCAAAAGGGACTATCCAAACATTTCCTCTTAGGTGTCTTACACAATCACCTCCCTAGATTAGGTCACTTGGTACATTATCAATGCATCCGTTAGTTTTCTGTGCCTATTACTTTTCTCGTGTTACTTTTGCTCCACAGTACCATTGGCTCATGTAGCCCTACTTCTCAAGATTTTCTTTAATGAAACTTATTGAAAAAGGCCTGAGTTAATATCCCATTCAATAATTCACTTGCTCAGTAAACAAATATTTCATTAACCACTTAACAGTTTAGCCAGAGCGTCACTTGGGCAGCAAATTTGTTTACATGCTGACTATCCCAAGCATTGCTTAGGAAGTGTCATTTCAACCAGTCAGTTCTTGTATTGAATAAATTTGATAAAGTTGTCATTTGTATATTTCCTATTATATTATAAAAAGTAATGAAAAAATATGCAATTTTTGGTCATCTTGTATTTCAATAATTGGACTGGTAAGTGGTTGAGTGCTGTCTTAATTACTTTTCTTGTTGCTGAAACAATACCTAACACCCAAAGTTAAAGGAGAAAGGTTTATTTGGCTCACAGTTTGTTGAGGTTTCAGTCCATAGTTGGCTGGCTCCAAAGCAGGGAGGCATGACAGAGGAGAAGTAGTCTATGGCAAGCAGGCAGGTAAAAGCATACTAGCCTTCTTTCTGTCCCTTGTATTTTATGCAAGCTACCTGCCCTAGGGCTGGTGTAGAGCTCACACCCTTAATCCTAGCCAGAACTATGCCAAACCAATGTGGACTGATTTAGCAATCACACACCCTTGATTCCAGCATCACACCCTGTACATCCAGCCACCTCTGAATAGCACCCCTATGACTGTGTGAGGCTTAGAGGGGACATCTAGACACAAGCCATAGCAAGTGCTGTATCCAGACCTACATTTTCTTTGGCCTCTTTTATTTTCCACTTGTGATGTACTTGATTATTAATAGCTTTTCTTATTTTTAAGTTTTACATTATAGAAGTGAGGACTGATTATAAGCTTTCTAGTGTAACACATCACACTTACAGATCTAGGTACACATGGTTTGGAATTCATTTCCAGCCTTACCAGTTGCCTTAGGCAAATTCCTTCACTTTTCTATTTCTTGATATCATGTAAAATAATAATACTATATTTACTTCATGGAATTGTCAGGAAGATTAAATTAATCAATGGATGTAGGCTCATAGACATCTTATGTATTATGAAATACAGTTATTATGATTAATTATAAACAGTATACTTACTTGTAACTCTACTTACTCAGCGCTGTTACTTTTCGTATACCCCTCCCCCAGTGCTTAATAGTTTGTTGTGGTGGTTTTCTAGTTAACTCCAAGTGTAGAAGACTAGTCGTATTCCTGAGTTGATAATATATAATAATCATTGATCCTTGCAAGGCCATTGTTTCCTTTGGTATGTTTATCCTTTTTTATTTCCATAGTTTCTTTCCCTTTCTCTTACTCTATGCAACTATTTTCATGTTTATCCTTTTGTTTACATGTAATTTTGAGACTGGATAGTTTTAATTTTTTCTTTACAAAAATCTGTTATATATTTTACTTTATGCTTTATTTCTTTTTTCTATTACATGATTTGATTTTTATTTCTATTTATTTATTTTTTTGTGTGGTACTGGAGATCAAACCCAAGGCTTTGTTCATGTTGGACAAGAATGTATACCACTAAGCTATACTCCGTCCCTATTCAGCTCTTTAAAGAATCATGCAAATTATTACATGCACATCTATTCCTTTGATTCCAATTCTTAATAATTCTCTTTGTGTATCTACCAATCTATCCCTGCACTTCCATGATGATAGGCACACAGTTTGCCTCCAACTCTCTTCCACCACAGTGCAGGATTGACTTTCTTTAGACACTTCTCTTCTGGATCTCTGAACATTCTTTCACATGCACACACATTCTTTGACACACACATATATATAAACATATATATTTATTTTGTTTTGTTGGTACCAGGGATCGAACTCAGGACCTTGTGCTTGTGAGGCAGATGGCAGAACCACTGAGCTAAATCCCCAGGCTATAAATATGTGTATTTAGTTTAACTAGATACTGCCAGATTTTCTGCAGAATAGCTGTAGTATTCTACATTCCCAGTTTTTTGCCTTTTGAATGAGTACTAGGATTATTCTGCTTGGAGACCCCTTAGTAGTAAGATATTTGCAGCCAGATATGTGAAGAAATACTGTATTTTAGAAAAATTAGTCTTCCATAATTCAAATCTAAACCATCTCCATTCTAAGATGAACCATCACATGTATTTTCACAAAAACTGCCAGTTGAGCTGTTTTGTGCCATAGATTATAAGATGGATTCTAATTTCAGAGATGTTAAAATATGAGAAAGTGAGAGCCTGGAATCCATGAAAGAATATTTTTAGCCATTCATGAGCATTTTCCAAAGCATTATCAGAACTACAAGATGAAAATAATCGTATTTTACTACCACAAAAAAAAATTTCCCTTACTGGACTGGTTGGAAGTTACAAGAAAGGTAGATTTCTGCTGTGTGTAAGACTTTTATTGCTATTAACATTTAAATGCCCTGGTTTTAAGTTACTGAGGTTCTTATTATTGGGTACATTTAAGTAGCTCTGGATAGTTACATGGTATGAATTTTATTGATTATTTCTGCTCTTAAAGGAGAGTGAATCAGCTGTCCAGGGTTTCAGGGATTATGTTCAGCACTTAGCATCAGACTTGGAAAATGGTGGCTGCTGTTAACAGAAGACACCTGGCATGGTTACTCCTACATATTGTTAGGAACCCAAATTCTTTTTAGCATGTGATTCTCACCTCAAAATCTTAAGATAATTGACCTGCCTCTGGTGTTGTAGTCATGTTACAGGTAGAAATAAGGAGAAGGGTGATGAGAAAAGTGGGCATATTCCATGAGTCAGTGCCCTCTAAGAAGTCTCCAGAACTAAAGCCAGTGACCTCAGTGGAGTAGAATTATACAGCATGACCACCCGAATGGGAAACCTGGAAGTGTAAGCTTTTTATTACTGTTACTAATAAAATCCAGACTTAAATTAGAAACAAAGGAAGAGTTAAAATGTTAAAGGTGATTTTCTTTTTCTGTTCATTAAAGTCTTTCCTTTTTTTAGTTAGAAAATATGTCAGTCTAACTTCCCATGTCAGTTTGGCAGCAGTACATATGTTTGACAAATAGCTTTATTGTAGTTAAGTTACTTATTTGTTCATTTGATCATGTTACGCTTCTTATGTTGATTTGATTCCTGTTGCTGATAGGATCACACAGGTCCAAGACAACTTAAAAATCACTGATGCCTGGATCAATGAGAATGAGATCTGAAAGAACCGAGAAAAGTTGCTAGCTACTCAGACCAAACTTCCTGATAGTAGAAAAGTGTTAACTTTATGCTTTCATTCCCATCCATTGCTGTCTAAATCCCTTTCTTACTCTACTTCTTTATCCCTTTTCTCTTCATTCATCTTGCCTATCAGTTTTCAAATGCCAGAAACTCATTTTGTTTATCTCTTGTTAGAGACCAATGGGTTCCTTATTACTTAGAAGATAAAAGAATGCCTTCCCAGCTCATTTGTTACTGAGGAATTTAATTTAGAAGTTAGTTGAAATTGTAAAACCTGGGCCGGGGATTTAGCTCAGTGGTTCCACCGCCTGCCTCACAAGCACAAGGTCCCAAATTCGATCCCTGATACCAAGAAAAAAAAGAAATTATAAAACTTACAATCCTGAAAATGTTTTTTTCCCTTTGAGGTAGCATATTCTTTTTTTTTGGAGCAGAAATCGAACTCAGGACCTTGTGCTTGCTAGCATATTCTTGATTTGCAAAATAGTAATTATGAGGGCCACGGATGTAGCTCAGTAGTGCAGTGCCTGCCTCGCAAGTGCAAGGTCCTGAGTTCAATCCCCGATACCTAAAAATAGTAATTATGAGGGATGTGGCCACATGTTGCTAGGATATAGCAGTCAACACAACAGAGTCCTTTTTAAGAAGGTTTCCCTTTCAAGTGATGGACTTGATAAAAAAAATTAATGCATCTTTAAGGTGACATGACAGTCACTTAATGGTTTTTTTGGTTCTTTTGCTTTAAAGTAGGAGTCAGCAAGCTTTCTCTATAAAAGTACAAGGTAGTATTATGTGCTTTATGGGCCACATCTGGTCTATCATATATTATTGTTCTTGTTTTTTGAGTTTTTATTGGTGTTGTCTTTTTTTCATACACCTAAAAATATAAAATCCATTTGGACTGGGCCAGGCCCATCACCACTGTTAGCTGTTGCTTATGTTTATGTATTCAGAAATGTCATTGGCAGATTTTGAGCAGTTGGTATTACATGTCCAGATTTTTGTATTCAAAGTGGCACAAAAATCATAGAGGAACTGAGGCAGAAGCAGGAGGCAGTAGATTATTGCCTGATGTACTAATGTACTAGAGCCATCTATTGAGAAATGGAAGGCTGGGAGAAAACTGATCTGGGAGATAAAATATAAGGTCCATTTTGGACATACTAAATTTTAGATTCCTAAATGGATTATCAGTTAGTGTTTAGGAGAGAGTCCGTAACTGTATATCTATCTAAATACACTTCCACTGTAGATAGCATGTAAAACCATGGATTTGATGACATCTAGGGAGAGCAAAGGGCCATAAACCAAGTCAAGAGACTGTCCAACATTTAGAAATGGGTAGAAGAGAATCCAGCAAAGGAGGTCGAGGAGCTTAAGAGTGTCCATTGTAATTAGAAGGAAAACCAGAGAAGGAGCATCATGGAAGCCAGAAGAGAAGTTGTCAGCTTTGTCAAATCACGGTGTCAAGAAAAATATGCAGAAATCACCACTAGACTGGGCATCAAGGACTTTGATAAGAATATTTTAACTGGACTAGTATGGGACAGAGACTGTATTGATGTTGTAGGCTGAAGGGGAGCAGAGAAATGGTAATGCTCCAAAAGGAGTGGTGTGATGAAGTAGTGTTGTTGTCTTGGTAGTGGGAGACAAGACATGTTTGCTTAGTGATGGGAATGATCCAACAGAGAAGGAGAACTCAATGATGCAAGCGGGATTTGCTTGAATATGTATTGGCTGCTAAGTTTATTTTAAAGGACAAACAATAATTGCCTGGGTTGAAAGGGAAAGAGAAAAGAATTTCCTAAATAGATTAAGCAAAATCAAAGGGCATAAGAGTTTAAGAGAAAACACAGCATATTTAAGGAATAGCAAGCATTCTAGCTGGAACAGAGTTTCCATTTAAGCACATAATAAAGGAAGTGGTTAGCAAGGGTCAGATGAAGAAGGACTAGTGTATTAGAACTTTTTATGAAGACTGTGAAGATACTCTGAAGGATTTAAAACTGGGTATATTTTTGATAGCATTTTTTAAAAGATGAGATAAAAGAAGATAGATGTAGAGGTTGATAAAATTGTAGACAGGGAAATCAAGGAGGAAACTGATATAATAGTCCAGGCAACCATATTAAAAGGATGTTTTGTTTAGTTTTGGAGTCTAGAGAAATTCATTAAGTACAGGATTAGATAAGGTCAGTTATTTAATTTTGGTTGTTTATAACAATACCCATATATTAGTCGATTAAAGATGTGTAGCAGTCAGATAAATAGCTGTGAGGGCTGGATATAGCTCAGTGGAAGAGTACTGGCCTAGTACGTGTGAGGCCATGAATTTGCTCTCCAGTGCCAGAAATGAATGAATGAATGAATGAATGAATGATGTAGAGTACAAATGCTGGGTCTGGGCTGGAAATAATTAGTTGGGCGAGGCATGATCATGAAGTCCCAGTTGTCAGTGAGCATCTCAGTAGTATGGGTTAAGGGAAAAACAGTGTTAGTGATAGCTTGACAAAAAGACATTTATGAAGCATCAGTTTTAAACCATAGTATGAGAAGACTTTACAGTTTGCACACATAACCATTACCAAAAAGAAAAGAAAACCTATCCATTTTTGTCCTGTTTCTTTTAAGTGTTTTTTCATTTGTTGTTTGCTTTTGGTGGAGCTGAGGATTGAACCCCAGGGCTTCACACATGCTAGGCAATTGCTCTGCCACTGAGCTACATTCTACCCAGTCCTATTTTTTTTTAATATTTTTATTTTTAAGCTGATTCTTTACAATAAATTTGAAAATATATACTTTGCCTTATTCTCTTTATTAAGATTGAAGAATTAGAGGAGAAACTTAATGATGCACTTCACCAGAAGCAGCTACTAACTTTGAGATTAGACAACCAATTGACTTTTCAACAGAAGGATACCAGGTAAGAAAAGTTTAAAAAAAAATAAAAAGAAACCTAGTATTTAGCAATTAAAAATAACTTTAACGGGGCTGGGGATTTAGCTCAGTGGTTCTGTCGCTTGCCTTGCAAGCACAAGGACCCAAGTTCGATCCCTGGTACCAAAAAAAAGTAATAATAATAATAACTTTATTATCTGTTCATGCATGTCATTGTAAGCTAAAATAGAGCAATTTTGTCAGAGCTGGTAATAATTTTCATGTCTAGACCACCAAAAAATAGATTATTTGATATAGTATGTGAAATTTAAAAAGTCAGAATTCAGCTTTTATTCAGTAAGCATGGGTCAATGTAAGTGAACCACAAAGGAAGTGCTCTGAACTGACCACCACATAATTTGCTGTCTAGATTACTAATCTTTCTTCATTTATGTTGTGAAACATACTGATTGATTGTCATGGCCCATTGGACTTCCTGGCATGAAGTACTGTCCATTGTACCTACGTATTTCTCCAGCTTAGCTGAGTACTTATCAGGAACCCATCCTTTACTCTTCAGTATGCCTGTGCCAAGCATGTCTAATACACTTATGTAACTTAAAAGTTAAATAAGAAAGTATGAGTACCAAAAAGATGCGTTGTTTCTATTTAAAGTATAAATAAATTCATTGGAAACACCTGATAAAAGTGAGTGACAAAAAAATAATGAAATGAAGTATTAAGACAGATTTAAAAATTGGGGCCAAAAGTCAAACTAATAAGGTCTCCTGCCTTTCTAAAGAAATTGAGCTTGGAAATCATAAACAAAACATATGAAAACAAAGCATGCCTCTGTATTCAAAAAACTTTGGACCCTTTATAAAAAATACAGCAAATCAATGTTTATTTCTGTGTTTTAATTAGAAGTAAATGTGTAAAGTAGGCATCTTTCTTTTTTTAAGATTTGACTAACAAATTTTCTAAAAAGTTACCAGACCAAATGTTAGCTAGCACATTAAATGGATCTCAAACTTTAACGTGTACCCAGAAGACTTGTTAAAAAGATTACTACATTCAGCCCTTACATTCAGATTTTGGGTAGATGCTGAGAATTTGCATTTCTACCAGGTGGTGCTGGTGGTATTGGGAAAGCACCGTGTTAGACAAACTGAATGATGCTGAGAGGGCTTTTAGTCAACTATTGCAGTGGTGCTATTGATAGCAAATGGTGGTAAAAAATGGTTGGATCATTAGTATATCCATGAGGGTAGAGTGATAGGATGTCCTGATGGATTAGATGTGGGGCTTAAGAGAAAATAAGAGTGAAGAATTGCACCAACATTATGAAAGATAGAGTTGTTGTCAACTAAGATGGAGGAAATCAAAGGGTTTGTGAGTAAGAAAGTAGGAGTTCAATTTGGGACATGTTAAGTTGGAGTTGTCTTGTCAAATCTACATGGACATGTATGAAAAGTTTGGTCTGGATATATAAATCTGACATTAGGATATAGCCAGTATTTAAGTCATGAAACTGGGTGATTTCCCTAGGGAAGTGAGTATAGAAAGAGAAGAGGACCAAGTACTTCATCATTAAGAAAAGAAGAATGGGGCCAGGGATTTAGCTCAGTGGTTCTGCCGCCTGCTTCGCAAGGGCAAGGACCCAAGTTCTATCCCCGATATCAAAAAAAAGAATGAAAATATGCTGTAGTAAAAAGAGGAGAAAATGAAGGAAGTGTGGTTTCTTGGAGACCAAATAAATTAGAAAAAGGTTATCAAGGAAGAAGAGATTAGACTCAGTGGTAGAGTTCCTGCTTAGTATGCACAGGCCTTGGATTCGATCCCCAGTGCCACACATATACAAAGGAATGAGAGATTAAATGTGTTAAGTGCTATCAGTAGGTCATGGATGTAAAAAAGAACTAAGACTCAGTCATTGACAATATGAATGTAATTGGTGTCATTGAGATCTAAGTAGAAACGGTAAATATTTGATTGACATGGATTAAGAGGAAAGAAATTAGTGACAAAGAGTATAGACAGCTTTTGAGCACTTTTCTCCCATAGGGAAGCAAACCAAGGGCAAAGTGAAGTGGGGCCAAGAGTTGTGTTTTTATTTGTTTTAAAATAGGAGAAATAGCAACATGTTTGTTTGTTGACAGAAGTAATACAGTAGGAAGGAGGAAAAATCAGATTGTTCCTTCTTGTTTAAAATCTTTGGGTGTGCAAGTAACAATAACTGTCTGCTATATGTTCTTTGAGAATGATGACTATGTGCAGATTAACCTCAGTGGCTGGATAAATACTTTCTGGTGGTTAAGCGTTGCCATACCACTTAGAAGAGATTCCTTAAAGTACTGGGATAAAAGAGGAATGAAAATTACTTAAATAAGTAGGGTCCAGAGCAGATAGATGAGATTTAAAACCTAAGCAGAGAAAAGGGCCAGGTATGTGGCTCAGTGGCACTGCACCTGCCTGGCAAGTGCAAGGTCCTGAGTTTGATCCTTGCTACAGGAACATGTTATCAGGGCTAGGAGTACAGCTCAATGGTAGAGTGCATGTGTAAGGTCCTGGGTTTAATCCTCAGCATCAAAAAAAAAAAAAGAGGAAATGTATATTTTTGTAATTTGAATTTTTAAAATGTCAACTAATAATTTATGTGACCACACATTTACTGATTAGTATGGAATTGTTATTTCATGTTTAATTGGTTAAGTAAATAAGCATTTAGATGGATCCAAGAACACTGCTGAACTTTCCCAATTTTATTAAAGATTCTTTCAAGCTTGCTATAAATTATCTCCTAATGTAGAAAATATCAAGAACTAATGAAACAAGAAATGGAAACCATTTTATTGAGACAGAAACAACTAGAAGAAACAAATCATCAGCTAAGAGAGAAAGCTGGAGATGTTCGTCGAAACTTGCGTGACTTGCGTGACTTTGAGTTGACAGAAGAGCAATATACGAAACTAAAAGCTTTTCCTGAAGATCAGCTTTCTATTCCTGAATATGTATCTGTAAGTGTCTTGTATCACTTAAGAAAAAAAACTGCATAATATTTTCAAACAACATATATTTGCTATTTATGTATTAACCGTTAATTTCAAAGTACTCAAAATTATCTTATGGTAATGATCTGAAGATTGTGAGTAATAGTCAGATCACCAAATTGTAAAGAGTCTTGACCATTGATTTCCAAGGATAGGAATAAATAGGATCCTGAAGTTATGAACTACATAACTTTAGAAATGAATTATTTCATTATTAAGTGGTGGTTTAAAATGGTTTCAAAATGAAAAATTATGAAGATAAACTGCAGGTGAGTTGCTGCTCTGGGTGGGTTAGGGATAGTGGGGGGAGTGGAGTTGGTGTGATTATAGGGGGAGTGTGAGTTGGGATGAAGGAGAACTGTGTGGTGAGATTAGTTTAGGATCTTGATGACCTTGCTGGTTAAACAAATCTGCTCTTCTGATTGACATATGGTGGTATTCTCAAAATGCTTGGTCTCAGTATTCCTTGATATTCTAAAAGTCACCGAGGATTCCCAGAGAGCTTTTGTTTATATGATATAGACCATATCTATTATATTTGCCATGTTAGAAATGAAGAATATGGTATTTTTGTTTTGTATCCCAGGCTGGTCTGGAACTCATGGTGATCCTCCTGCCTCAGCCTCCCAATAGCTGGGATTACAGGTGTGTGCACCATGCTCAGCCAAGACTAAGGGATTTTTATAAACAGAAGAATACCGAACCAGGCACAGTGGCACATGCTTGTAGGCCCAGCAACTCTGGAGGCTGAGGCAGGAGGACTGCTTGATTTCAGGAGTTTGAGGCTGGTCTAAGGAGTATAGCAGGACCCTGTCTTAAAAAATAACTAATACACCTGCTGTGCAAGCTCAAGGACCAGAGTTCGATCCCTGGTACCCCCCCCCAAAAAAAACCTAATACATAAGTACACATTCCATTGGCTTTAAAAGTCATGACATTGTATATTAAAGAGTTTCAGATTGTATGCCTGCACAATAAATAGATGTAATTATTCTCTTCTAACTTGCTGGTAGTTTTTTAGTTTTATAGGACCTTGTCAGATGGAACTCTTGACTGAAGTAGGTAGCAAATTCCCGAGAGTCATTCCACCACCTGCTTCACAAGCACAAGGTCCTGAGTTCGATCCTCTGTACCAAAAAAATTCCCCTGAGAAAAATTATGAATGGGAAGTAAATCTGAACAGAACACAAGTATTGATAGGAAAGATACCTCCTTTTATTCTGATTATCCCTCACACTGCAGTGGCCAAGGTAAGCAGAGCTCTGCCAAGAGCTTGAAATAAGAACAAAGATAGGGCTGGGGTGAGCTCCATGGTAGAGTGCTTGCCTAGCATGTGGAAGGCTGTGGGTTTACTCCTCAGCATCTTGGGTGGGGGAAGTAGACTTTATCTCTTTATCAGTTTCTTGTTTATATATATTTAGGCATTGGAGATTGAGCAATCTACAAACCAAACAAGTTCTTGTCTTCATGGAGCTTATCTTCTAGCAGAACAGCACAGATAGTAATTTAAATATTAAATATGTGAATGTGTGTTATTATGGAGAAAAGAGCAAGAGTGAAAATTAGGGAGTGCAGCCAAATTAGGGTGCTGCTTTAAACTAGGACAAGGGAATCAGGAGGTTTCACTGCCAAGGTGACACTTGATCTAAGACTGAGAAGGACAAGGCCTGAACCGTGGATTTATATGTGGGAAGAACTGTTCTCATAGAGGAGGTAGCAGTGACACAGGCCTTGAACACTTGATATGTTCGGGGAATTTATAAGCAGGTAGTGTGGAATGAGCAATACTTAGGAGATGTGGAGTAAGTGGTAATAGGGTATAAAAAGAAGAGAGGGAGGTACTATTGGGTGGGGAGTTACAGATTATCTAGTTCTTTGTTAACTTAATTGAACATTAAGATTTAAAGTATTAGTGGTTAGGTTTGGGTAATGGCTGTCTTGCTTAATTATAGTTATTTCCTTTTTTAATAACTGTTTTTGAGTTATTACTAATATTTATCCATGGGGAATATATTCCAGGACTACTAGTGAATGACTAAAACTACAGATAGCACTACATCCTTTATATCCTTTACAGTACTCTGTTTGTCATTATACATAAATATTGCATTTATTATCATACATAAATACCTGTGATTGTTTAATTTCTAATTTAGACACCATAAGAAATTGACAGTAACTAATAATAAAATCAAATATTATAACTTTTTTTTGGTAGTCCAGGGGGACTGAAACCAGGGCTTCAGATATGTTAGACAAGTACTCTTACCCCTGGACTACATCCCTAGCCCTTTAAAAAAAAATTTTTTTTAAATTTTGAGTCAGGGTCTTGTTAAGTTCCCTGGGCTGATCTTGAACTTTTGATCATCCTGCTTCAGCCTCCTGAGTATCTGGAATTATAGGCATGTACCACCATGCCCAGCTAACAGTATACTTTCATTAAAAATTATTTAAAACTTAAGAATTTTCTTTTTTTTCTTTTTTTTTTTGGTACCGGGGATCGAACTCAGGTCCTTGTGCTTGTGCAGCAGGCAACAAAACCACTGAGCTAAATCCCCGGCCCTGAATTGTTTTTTTCTTGGACTTTCTGTGTAATATCTTTGGGTGTGGTTGACTATGGGTAAGTGAAACCAGGGAAAATGAAGCATGAAAAAGGCAGACATGTATACCGGAAATTAACAAATTTTAATTTTAATTTGTACTTCAAAATTGCTTATTAATTTCTTTTTTTTTTTCAAGATTCGGTTCTATGAACTGATGAGTCCATTAAGAAAGGAAATCTGTGAACTGCAGGTGAAAAAAAATGACCTATTGGAAGAATTAAGTACAAATAAAGACAAACTGAAGCAACTGACAGAGGTTTGTAAGGTTTTGCTTACTGGTAAGAAGCAGCTCCAACTTTTTCTATAAGGAATGTCTCAGAATTTACAGTGAGGAAAAGTCAGTGATGGAAAAATGGGACTAGAGAATGCTTACTGCTATGATCTTCTTAAGTAGTGAAATGAAAGTTAAACTGGAAGTAGTCATCTTAAAACTTGAGAAGATAAGTTCATGATATTGACCTGTAATCCATAATTTAGCATTTTGTTATTGTAACAAATAACAATTTAGCATTTTGTTATTTTCATACTCAAGCTGCTTTTGAAATCTAATATGGACCATTGTCTTAGTTACTTTCCTCATTGCTGAAACAAAATACCCAACACCCAAAGTTAATGGAGGAAAGGTTTATTATAGCTCACGGTTTGTAGAGTTTTCAGTTCATAGCTGACTGGTCCAAGGCAGGGTGGCATGGAAGAGGAGTATCTCAGAGGAGAAATAGTTCATGGCAGGCAGAAGGCAGCAAGTAGTGAAATAGTGAATCAGCAAAGCAGAAGCTTGCCTCTCCCTTTTATTCCCCTCTAGGCTCCCTACCCTATCAGTAGTGCCACCCACATGCAGGGTGGGCCTTCCCATTATCCACACCCAGAACTATGCTTCACCAATCAGTGGACTAATTTAATAATCAGACATCCTTAGTCCCATACCCTACAATCAGCCACCTCTGAAAAGGCCCTTCTATGAGTGCATGAGGCTTTGGGGGGGACATCTAGATACAAGCCATGACAACTGTATCTGAAAATTGCTGTGACATATGCACATAAGAGTTTATTTAATAATTCAGGTCTCTATTTTTAATGCTATTCTGTCAGGAAATTTACACATGAAGCAAGAAATGTAGACCAGGATATGCAGGGAATTTCTTTCAGGTGCCCTAAGTAAGAGAATACTTGTGACTTTTTATTAGCATGACTCTTAAGTTCTGATTTCACTAGGACTGATTCCTCTATTTCTTATATGTAAGTATTAATAGCACCTCATTTACTTTTTTTTTTTTTTTTTTTTGTACTAGGGATCAAACTCGGGACCTTGGTCTTGCAAGGCAGGCAGCAGAAACACTGAGCTAAATCCCTGGCCATCCTCATTTACTTTTTAAAGTATCCCAATCTAGTTGATAAATTATATAGTCATCATACTTATACGTCTTCTATTTATAGGAAGGTGGACTAATGATTAGCTTCTAGATTATGGCACTGACTATATATTCCAGAATACTATCATGTTGTTATAATTTGCTAAGAACAAAATATTGGTAGCTGATTGATTTTACTGTATAAGAGTTAGAAAGGGAATAACTTTTCTTCAAGGATTTCATTAATCTTAAAGGAAAGCACTTAAGGTTAAAGCTTACAAATAGAGTCTGCTCTAATTCTTGCCTTGTGTGTGGTATGAAAGGGAGCTATTGTCCATTTATCAGTCATTCTGCTTCATCAAATACAATTAACTTACAATACTTGTTCTGAGCATGTATACTGATACTAGCATTAACACTAGTGATGGGGATAGTGCAGTATTAGGTGCTGGAAGTAATGAACACAAGAGAGACACTATCTGCCCTTAGAGAGTTCAAATTCTGGTAGATTACAGTTAGAACATTTGATGAAATCTTGATACTCTGATTTATTGTGTGACCTTGAACAAATCCTTTTTTTTTTTTTTTTTTTGGCAGTAGGTATTGAACCCAGGGCCTTGCACATGCTAAGCAAGCACTCTACATCGCCACTCATTCATTCACTTAGAGGAGGGTTTTGCTAAGTTGCTCAGGCTAGCTTCAGACTTGTGGTCCTCCTAACCCCCCAGCTTCCCAAATAGTGGGGATCACAGGCATGTGCCACCACTCCCTGGCTAAACAAGTCATTTAATATTTCCTGTCCTTCAAATAGGGAAAATAATACTGTTTGTCCTTTATTTTATTGGATTCCCCGTGTTTCTGTTCAAAAGGGAAGATACTATTTTAACAAAGTTGCATACAAATATTTATCTTATTTCCCATTTCAAGGGTAGTATCTCTCAATGATCTGTTATTCAGAAATATTATAATTTGATGTATATTTTCAGTGCTCTGCTTTGCTGCCCTCTTAACATTAGATGGGATTTACTCATGTCATTGTATAGCCAGTATGACATGAGTCTGAAGCCTCAGCTTCCTTCGTCTCCTCAAAGGAGAAATATGAGAGAAGCAGATGTGCACCTAATCCAGGCTTCTGTTGGTTTGTTTTGCTTTTTCTTCTGCTATGTGCCACATTTTGCCTGTTAACTGTTTTGCACCATTAAAAAGATAGCTGTTTAGTTTTAAAAATATTTTTTCAGTTGTCAAAATAAAACAGGAGAAAGTTAAAAGGCCTAGTTTGGCTATTCCTTGTGCAACCTTGGGCCAGTCATTTCAGTGCTGCTGCTTCTATAAATGCCGAGGGTGGCAGTAGTGCAGGGCTCTTGTGGAAGAGGCAGACTGGGTTTCAGACTTGGTTCTGCCGCACTTTGGGCTACCTCAGCATCCCTCAAGGACTTACTGTGTAGGAGGAGAGCAAGAAAAGCTGCCTATCCTTGTTTCTATCGAACTGTCTTTTTTTAATCACTTTGTTATTTGGGACTTTACGAGTGATTTCTCTTAAATACATGATTCCTCAGGCCAGTAAAGAAAACAGTTTACAACTCTAGAATTATCATTAACGTATATTTTTACTGCATAGTACAGCCAGTATCCCAACTTTTGACACTGAAGGGTCAGTAATGGCTTTATATCTCAGAGTTTAGTTTAATTCATCCTTGGTAACACTTTCAGTATGTTACTGATAAAGCATAGATGATACAGTTTGAATTATGGGGTTCTTAGATATTCTGATGCGCTAATAACTCTTGAACATAGAAATGTTTGGAAATTTGTATTAATCAGGGTTCACTGGAGAAACAGAAAACAGGATATATGTAGGGGGGAGATTAATTGATTGAGAGGTAGGAAAGGGAGAAGGTTTATTTTAAGAAATCAGCTTATACAGTTTGGAACTTGGGAAAGTTTAAAATCTCCAGGGTCAGCCAGCAAACTGGAGTAGGGAAGAGTTGTAGTTCAACTCCAATCCTTCCTTTGGAAGTCAGTCTTTTACTATTGAAGTCTTTAGCTGATTAAATAAGGCTCATTCACATTATGGATAATAATCTGCTTTACTCAAGTTTACTGATTTAAATGTTTATCTCATCTTTTAAAATTAGTACCTTGCCAAGAACATGTAAAATGATATTTGGCCAGATATGGCCTAGCCAAGTGGATACATGAAATTAGCCATGTACACATTTATCTCTTAAAGATTTATTACCTCTCAGCTAAATGTGCAATCTTAAAAGATACTGTTTTGAGTTCCATCTCTGCAACTTAACAACAATGTGATTGTCTTAAATTAAAAACAAAAACAAAATTTAAAAAATTAGGCCTCTCTGTCCACTTACAACTTCTTCTGTAAAATAGGGATGATTTCGATCCCCAGTACCAAAAAAAAAAAAAAAAAAAAAATAGGGATGATAATACACAACACTTACCTTACATGGCTATTATTCTAAAGAAGGAAATCCATTCCCTAAGGAGACATTGTGTGTCTGCTGTGTGACAGCCATGTTCTAGGTACTTGCTGTGTCTCACTGAGCAAAACATCGGTCCTTGCCCTCATGGAGTTTATGTTTTAAAAGGACATCTGTTAAACATATTTTCAATGAAAATAAAAAATACACATGATAAATAAGCAAATCACACAGTATGTTAGAAGGTGATAACTGCAATGAGAAAAAGAAAACGTAGATGAGTATAAGGTGAATGGAGCAGTGCATTGGAAGCAGGGAGAAAGCACAGTCAGAATTATAGAGGAGCTTAGAAATTTCCAAGGACTTGAAGAGAGTAGGGGCACAACAGACTTCCCAAGGGTGGGTTTCCAGGCAGAGGGAAAAGCCAATGCAAAATCAAGAGCACAACTTGCTGTTTGTAAAACAGTGAAAGGAAAAGGTGGATAGTTGGGAATAAGATCAGAGTTCTGTTGAAGTCATTCATTGGAAGGACTTTGATTTTAACATTGAATGAAATGAAACATAATAGCATTTCTAAAGGAGGTATAACATGACCTGGCATACATTTAAGAATTCTGGCTGGCACAAAGTAGACATCAACAAATGTTTGGTGATTAAATTACTTTCAGTGAGTATTAAAGGACTTTCTTAATGTCCTAGATAGTGGTTTTTAAAGAAAACTTCTTGCTGAGAATAGATTATGGAGCTATAAGGACAGGCCCAGAGAGAAGTGTTAGGAGGCTGCTTTAGTAGTCCAGGCAAGAGGCACTAGTGCTTCAGACCAAGGTGGCAGCAGTGGAAGTGGTGGGAACCAGTTGGATTCTGAAAGTTTTAGAAACAGAACCAATGGGATTTCTTTAGGAATTGGATGAAGAGTATAAGACAGAGGAGTCAAGTTAATTTTGAGGATTTTGGCCTGAATAATTGGATGAATGGAGTTGTATTCAGCTGAGATGGGTGAGACATAAGTCAGGCAAAAGATTTTAGTGCAAAAGACAGTTGAAGTTTTTGAAGTAGTGAGAGATCTGTTAGGTGCACAATTGTAGATAGATGAATGTGCAGGTCTGAGTTAGGTACACGTTTGGGAGTCATTGGCACAGAAATGACCCTTAATTCCAGGCTGAAAGTCCCTGGAGAATAGTGAGTGTAGAGAAGATGACAGAGCCTGGACTGAAGGGGACTTCAGTATTGACATATAGGAGAGAGGGAAGTCAGCAGTAGGGAAACCAAAAAATATCATGTCTTGGAAGCCAAGGAAGAAAGTTTGTCTAGGAAGAGAGAGTGATCAACTGTTTCAGATGTCATTGGGGGATCCCGTTAGATGAAGACAATTTATGTTTAACAGGGTCACTGAGAACTTCGTCAAGGCAGGTTCTGGTGGAGGAGTAGGGTGAAAAGCTTGATGACCCTGTGTTTGAGAGTGAAGGGGA